TCCTCAATGTTCAGTTCAGGAACTGATCGCGATTTGAGTGTCGAAATTCGATATTGGTGAAGTTATAATTACTTAAAATTTTTGTTATTTGTTTAAAATGTGGCGTCCTTGGACAAGTACTAATAGTAATAACGAGTGTGATAACAACGCAGACTTTTTCCTGTGTAGTGATTCCAATAGTGCTGGTGGACAATGCGAAAAAGAGATACCAATAAGATTCGGATGCATTTGAATATTGAAACACAATGACTACATCANATCTGCAGTAACGTTAGTTACAAATAATAATCAGTATCATCAATTTATTAAAACAAATATTGAACGAAATTCAATTTATTAGAAAGGTATCAAGTATCAAGAGGAAGATTGAAGTGGTTTAATCTTCCACTTGAAGATGATCACTTGGTGACTGAAACACGTTTCGAGGTGTTAAAAATAACGCTGGGATTAAACTTCAGTAATATTCTGTGAAATTATTTGAAGACAATTTAGACACACGTACCTAGCAGAGGTATCTATGGTATGAATAAGGATAATATTGTATGTATTTAAGTTTAATTTTCGTCTTGAAAATGATCACTTGGTGATTGAAATACGTGTCGAGGTGTTAAAAATAACAGTTGGTGTTGGGATAAAATTCCACTGATATTCAGAAGGTCGCCTGTTGATTTTTGTTTCCAAAAGCTATATTGATGATCGCTCAAGATGTTAAAGCCTTCCAAATATTCAAGGATATGGCGGTTTACGGTTTTCTCCATGATTTTTGATATCACTGATAGCAAAGTGTCTATAGCTATTTGGAAAATTTTTCTTGCCCTTTTTGGGAATAGGATGAATGCGAGCAATCTTCCAACAAGAAGGAAAAACCCATTTCTTGTAAGACAGGTTGAAAAGTCTGCAAAATACTGGTGTGAGTTCATATGCGTACTTTTCAAGTACGATGACGGGCACTTCATCAGGACCAGACACCTTGTTCACATTGAGCTGTTTCAAAATTCGCCTGACTAGACGTTGTCGAAAAGCAATTTCAGACATTGTGAATTTTAGTGTGGGAATAGTGGGTGGTGCCTATTCCAGAAAATCGACTGTGGAGTAGGACGCTAATTGTTCTGCTAGTAGATTTGCTTTTTCTATGGCTGCTGTTGCAATTGAACCATCCACTTGTGTTAGTGGTGGAATTGTGGATTTTGTGAAGTTTTGATTAACAGCTTTAGCTACAGACCTGAAGGTTCTAAACCCGTTGGGATTGGCAAGCAGTTCTCTGATTGCTCTTTGCTGTGATTTATCCTAAGTTTGCAGCTGTTGCGAGCATTAACAAACCTAGTTCGGTTTTCGGTACTGGAATTTTCGCGCCGCTGCCGGTAGGCGAGATTTTTGGAGACGACAGCTTGCCAAAAAGTGATACTTTACTGGAATAATTTGAATGTTTTTTTTCATGATAATTTTTCATCACTATATATTCCTTACAATTTAATAGAATTAGTATAACTAATTGAGTTATTATCAGTAATTATGGGTTGTCCGATGCTTCCGGGTTTATTAGCCGTGGTCTGTAGGTTTTTATTCTTGACGTTTCGTCTGCTACTGCGGCAAACATCAAAGGCATTGCGGTGCGTTTGCACTTATAATGGGACTAGGTATCAGACGGGCGACTGCTCCTGTACCTGAATGGTCTGATTCTTCTTCAATTATTGGTAGAATTTTTTTGTTATGAAGTGCCGGTATTCATGTTTTGTCCAAGTTCAAGCTTTCTTCGTTATGGTTGAAATTATTCTTCTGTTTATGTAACCTATAAGAAACAAGACCAACCTCTTTTTTAGACAAAGGGAAGACAGAGTAGAAGCTGAACAAATTTATACCCTCAGTAAAGTAGAAACTCACAATAGTCTTAAAGTAATGCATTTTAACATTGGAGGCATAACTAATAAAGTTGCAGCTCTCGAAATAACGCTGAATTCATATGAGGTAGATATTAGGAATCACACGTTAAAAACTCCTAACCAAGTTAGCATTACCAGATGACTCAGGCATCTCCTGATGATGCTAACTTGATTATCAAAACACCTGTCAAGATACAGAATTTTTGTTATGGCGAGGAAAAAGTTTCAATAGATTCATTTCATGCCAGATATTCCAAATTCCAATTGCCAAGACATGCTTATGCTTTATTACAAGAAACTGAATTGAAGTAGCAAATACAATATTTCTCTCTAGGTAGAAATATATTCGAATGTAGTGAGTGATATTAATTTTATTGATTCACTTTATTGGAGATACGAGAGTCCTTGTTTTTATCAGTACAAGATGTCAGTAAAAACTTAACCCGAATGGGCAGGTTCATGATACATAAAAAGCAGTGAAACGAGTGTGGACATATCTTAATAAAGTAGTAGCGTAACTGGTGAATAGAATCTATAGAATTTCTCTAATCTATATTAAATTAATTTTCATCTCAGATCACAATGCCTCGTTTTATTCACAAATTAGCATTTTTATACTTTCTTATATTATTTTATATTATTTTCAATTTTTCAACTAATAGGAATATTTTTATCCTTGGTGTTTTCAGTTTACTTATTTAATTTCTTTTCTCTTCTCTTACATTTCAAAATTTTTTTTGACAACATACATTCTAATCAATCCAACTGATTACCACAATGTGACCAAAAAAGTTAATAATTCAGATAGAATTTGAAGCTTCTCAGAACCATAAACTAAAACGATTTTATGGTGTTGGGTTAGTGTATAATTGATTCAGTATTCAAAATGGAAGTTGGAATTAAAACTTTCAAGTCAGATATTGAAGGTTAAAGTTCGAATTCTGAGTGTATAGCAGAGAATACTAAGTGCCACTCTCGTCAACAGATTCATTGAAGCTAAGAGAGAAATATAGAATATCCAGTTGTTTTGTTAATCTTGAAAAAGTAGTTCTGATCACATCCTGCCGTTGTCGAGAGAGATTTTCTTTGAATTCATGAAGTTTATACTGAACGTATGGTCACCGAAAATTCAACACACTATAGTCAGTATTTATACTTTTGTCTTTCAAATACTCCCCCTCAATATTTTGAAATATTCCCTCCCGTTGTTCGAAAGAAATATGTGCTAAAAAATGCTCATAGAAATAACCCATTGTCAAGTGTAACACAGCTCATTCAAAAGCGTGCCTGCCGAAAATCAGTCTCAAAAAAACGAAAATGTTGAACAAAGTGTCGCAAAGCTTTTCACAAAACACACAACATCGAAAAAAGCTTTGGGCGAACAACAACATAGAGAAATCGTTAACAATAAAAAACAGTCATTTCTTTGACTAGAGTCACGTAAGATCATTCAGGAGGGTGGAATCCCTGGCGACATGGGCAAGTAGATACTTTCTGCTACAGATAATCTCCTGAATGTTTTGCTTGGACTCATGATCTCGTAATCTGATTCCGTCATGAATAACCTTGAGAGTTTCGATAAATCTTTGGCCGGTAGGGTGCTGCATCTATAGCTGCCGCTAAAAAAGTCAATTAACATTGTCATCAATAAATATTTACTACCATATATTATGCATACATTAACAATATTCTATTTTAACAACATTAAGAAATTCAGTATCTAATATCAGTATAGGGAATTGCAACAAAATCCTTATTGAAACAATTTAAAAACTTCGAAACAAAATTATAAAGTACATATTCAGGTTGAATTACAAGAAGCCTACAATCAACTTGTACAAACCAAAAAAAATAAGATTTGTCATCCTTTCATGACTACAAATTATGTACCTTTATTCATTTGGTCAAAATAAGCTCAAACATTCAAGTCTGACTTTTAAATTCACATTCAACAACCATTCGACAAGATATTCAGGCATTCTAAAATTAATGAGAATAAAAACAAATATTATGAAAAAGGAGAAATAATACTTTCTATGTTTTTTAACCACTTATTTGTGAATAACGTTACTGCAGTTTCGTTCTATGAGGACATTTTCAAACTAATAAAATTTACAAACATGACGACCTATTGCTGAAAATATCTATGCTTGATTTGTCTGGCGTCTGTGTAGAGGGAATCTTTGAATGCTGCGGTATTAAGCTGGCAAAATCAGGTACATGTCTTGTATGTATCTATAGGCCTCTATCAGGTAATTTCATAACTTTCTTGAACTCGTTTAATGGATTACTCACCCTATTATCCGAAAATGAAAATAATAATTATGTTATTATAGGCGGGGATTTCAATTTAAATTTCATGGTAGATAGTATGAATTTCAAACTATTTCAAGACCAGCTGGCATGTTTCAACATGAAGCATACGATATCTGTTCCAACACGTACAACAGCAAGCACTAGTACTTGCCTTTGCCTTGATAATTTCATTATCAAAAATGAAAATGCTTACGAAGTCTTTGTGAGAGACTTGCACATCTCAGATCACTTTGCTCAAGTGATTAGATTCTCCACTGAACAAAATGGTATACGAGATGAAAAATCATGTAATTTTGGTAGTGTTCTCAGAGGAGAACAAAGATCTACTGGTTAGGGAGTCCTGGGAAGATCTTGATGGCATTACCTACCCAAATGTTGCGTATGATAAATTCCATATTATAATTCATTATTACATTGAAGTGGCTTTTCCATCAATTCGTTTTCGTGGACATATAATAATTTCAATGCCCTTTTTTCCCCTATGCAGTGTCATGATGAGATAGATATTAAATTTATGGAAAATAATGTTCCCATCTGCCATCTTTTTTTATGCATCCCATTAGTGAATATGACATAATCGATTTGATAAAAACACTAAAAAACTCAAGTGCATTTGGTTATGATGAGATTTCAAACAAGCTCCTAAAAAAATGTGCTCATGAGTTATCATATCCGGTGCATCACGTCATTAACCTGTCACTAGAACATGGAATGTTTCCTGACAAACTGAAAATTGCTAATGTTGTACCAATTTATAAAAAGGGTGATAAAAATTTGTATGAAAACTATAGGGGCATTAGTTTGCTATCCGATACTATTCATGCTCTCTGTGTTCTGAAATGAGATAAATCAAACACTTAACATCTGATAAACCATACACAAACAAGTGATTGAAGGGATACAATCTGATATGAAGGAGGTTAGAGCAGGTGTACCTCGGAGAATCAATGTTAGGGCATTTATTCTTTATAATACTTAGGTGTTGGGATTGGCCGATACTTGATGAAAATTCATAACTTATTCAAGTAACACTTTATCGTGAACTTTTTGCTGGATGATAAATAAAATCGCAACACGTTTCACTATACAATAGCTTCCTCAAACTTTTTTTGTAATATATGTTGAAATAACTTTTGTTTCCTCTAATCGAACTATGATACCAATTTGTTGATTGGAAAGGGGAAAATTTAAGGATAGTCTAGTTTTCGGAAAGCATGTTTTTTGGCTTTTTACTAGATGCAGAAGCATCTAACAAAAAACGTGGAAATATTCTAAACATAGAAATAAATAAATTAGATACCAGGTTCTCACTGAAGACGAAACGTCAGTGTTAGCACGAGGCGGTAATTTCGCGATCATGCCGCATCAGATACCAAACGAGGCAATTATCGCCAACACGGAAGAGGCAATCAGGAATTTAGCGGATGACGAAGCGGAAGTGACATCAAATATTCTGAGCAAGGCACGACCGCCAAAATGCAACTTCCTAAAAAGAGATTTTGCAGCCTAGAAAAGCTTGAACTCTGATGGGGGTATCACGATTCTTCCAGCGGACAAGGAAAACGCCACGGTGCCTCTGAACACGAAAGAATATTACAGTAAAATCGAAGAACACTAGAACCTTCCATACTGCCGTAAACTTGAACGGGACTAACACAGTTGAGAAACAGTTAGAAAATCATTACATTTTTCTCACTGCTAGAAACTGTAAGAGAACCATTGTCAGAACTGAAGCCTCTCCACCCAGGCTCTACGATCTTACGAAAGTACATAAAACCAACATGCCACTAAGACCAATGATCAGTGCCTTAGGTTCGCTGACGTACCACCTGGTGAAGTGTCTGACCTCGTTCTTCCAGCCTCATGTGGGAAAAACAGACTTCGTTGGTAAAATTAGGGTCAGCTTCGATTTTGTCTATGTTTACTAATGTTCCACCGGAAGAATCTGTGAGGGGGCTATCCTACTTGTTTCCGAGTAATATCTCCGGACTCTTCAGAGCATGTCTCACGAGGAGTTTCTTTCAATTGAGGGGTAACTTCTATGAGCAAATACATGGCGTGGCTATAAGAAGCCAACTTAGCCCAGTGATAGCCAACTACTTCATATAACGTTTTGCAAAGAAAGTTATCGACACCTTCAAATCCAAATCGACCTTGTGGCTACGTTACGCGAGGACACTGTCATCTGGAAACATGAAAGCGATGCTCTAAACCTTTTCCTTGACCACTTGAACGCTCAAAACCCCAGCATCAAGTTCACCATGGAGACTAAACAAGATTAACGGATAGCATTCCTAGATGTACTCACCAAACGATGTGGTGCTAGATTAACCCACAAAGTGTACCGAAAACCCACGCACACCGATACATATCTGCACGCACTATCAAACCACTATCCTAGTCAAAAGAGAGGAGTCATCTCTACTCTAATTGAACGGGCTCAAAGAAAATGTGAACCAGCGATCTTGAGGAAGAACTGGAACGTCTCCAAGTGACCTTGAGATCGAATATATACAGTGTACCAGAGATCAACAAGGCCATGAAACTGAAGAGTTCCACAGCTTAAAACGAGGAGGAGGCTCAGGTGGTTGTATGTGCATATCTACCATATATCCCTAGGGTCACAGACAGAATTGGAAAACTCTTGGGGAAACTCAACATTGAAACGGTTTTCAAACCCACCAAGAAGATACAACAAAGTCTCAGGTCGACTAAAGACAAAAGAGACCTGTTATCAGCAGCAAGGGTGTATCACATATTGTGCACTTGTGGGAAAGTATACATCGGAACCACCAGAAAATCCATGGGAACAAGGCTGAAGGAGCATGAAAGAAACTGCAGACTACGCCAATCCAACAAATCGGCTATGGCGGAACACGTACCTAGTAAAGGAAACCACAGGATTCTGTTTGAAAACACAAAACTCATTGCCCCCAACCAGGGATACCATAGCGTCGATAGCGTTTTCTTCATTTTGAAGTCAAAATTGTGAGCTGTTTATTATATCTAGTGCATTTTGTAATGTTCTGTTTTTTGTTCGTATTCTATTATGACATAGCACATTTAACAATTTATCACCAAAGTGATCAATTGATAAATGAATAAATAAAATATATCAATTCATTATATATGGAAGGTTTATTAATTCTTTAAAATTTTTGAATAATTTTTATGATAAAAGAAATAGCACCAATCAAAAAATGATAATACAATATACCTAAAATCATGGAACAACTCTTTGAACACATCAAGTTGCAAACTAAATCACTAACATATACGGTGAAGTTGAAACTAGAGCTCAAAAACAATGCATTCATTATCGAACACCAGACAAAGCTTGTTTCGACCCTCCATAGGTTTTAACAGAGGTGCTAGGCGGAATCACGAATGCATTGCTGGACTCAATTGTCTTTAAAGGTCACATACAAGAAAGGAAACGCGATAACAATTTCCCTTATGAAAAAGCCTCCTAAGGGATCGACAGAAGACAATCCACAAATGTCAAAGATGAACAAGATTCCCCAAGGCACATATAAGTTGAAACTGACAATTGCATAAACATATTTTCATAATGAGTGAGTCCTACAAAGTTAGTTGTCAAGTGCAATTCTAAGGAACATGATATCACCAGGATATTTTTTGATTATAAAAAAACTGTAAAGACTTGAGATAAGCTCCTATAATATGTGTACTTTGCACTTATAATTCATTTCAATTATAATGAAAGGTCCATTGCAACAGATTTTATGACGAATTAATCACATCTACCTAACTACTGTACTCACCGCACACTTCATAACATACTCGAACTCGTCCGAAACAATAGACGCTCTGATTCCAGAATCTTCGCTGCCACTTTGGCTATGAAAACACGAGGGCATATCGCAGGACTGGGCTCCATTAGCGGCACAGTATATATCACCTTCGCTACGACTGAGCCTTTTGTTCACATAGCAGGAGCCCGTGTTAGTCAACTGGCCTCTGGCGACAAGGTAATGAAGCAGGGTAGACCCGTCATTACAGTAGAGATATAACTGGCCAGGGCCAACGGAGAATTCACTATAAAAAAATTTCATCATGATCAGGAAGAGGGTTTGCATATAAATCATCTTTTTTTGTAGTGAAAACTGTTACCGTTATGTAACAAATGTCAAATGTTGAAAAAATATTGAATATTGAAACATTAAATCATTTGTTAACAAAAACAAATTCTGATCTGAGGTAATACCTGTACTAATACTTGAGGGCGCTAATAAAATTGCAGTAGTGTTTTGTGGGCTCTTTAACCTGTCCAACAAAAAAACGATTTTTTTCTTTCTGTTGAAAAATCACTCTAGTTTCGCCTGTACCCAAGGCTAAGAAACATTTTTTAAATAACTACAGATCAGTTGCTTGACAGTGAGTAAAATAAAAAATTAGATAGAAAGCTCTTCTTAATCAACAATTTATTTCAACAATTGGAATGCTTCAACAACTTAAGCGATCGCTAACATGATTTCTGTAAGCAAAGATTAATAGGCGACTTTCTTGCATCGGTTGCCATCTTCGGAACAGACGATATTAGTACTTGCTTCAGTTTTGGTAGCTTACTATTGTTTTGACAATGTTTTGAGAACTTATTCTACAATTAACTCAGTCCAGATGCTGTATATCTGGAAAATGACATAATTAGACTGAATAATTAGAGTGTAAATAACAAAATGATTCTCAATACTCAGAAATGCCACACAATGAGCTACTATTGCTGTCCTTCACAAAGCAATATTGCTTTGGGAAGGACAACAGTGTTAAAAGACCTGGTTTGATATTACCTTGACCTTTGACCATCATATTACAATAGTTATTAATAAAGCTATGAAAAGTTTAGGGTTTGTAAAACGAACTACACAGGACTTCACTGATGTTAACTACATACAAGTTTTATATTGTTCTCTCAAGGCCTCACTTGAAATATTGTACTACTATATGCAATACTAAAGGTTAGGAACTTTTTTCTATTCTACAGATATGTACAAAAAAGTGTATAACTTACAATTACTATTATTATATCACCACAATCGTTAATGAAGTTTTAAAGATCTTTGGTTTCATAAAAAGGTTAACATCAGACTTCATATTCTGAACATTGAATTGTACCCTAATTAGATTACACCTTATGTATTGCTCTGTAATTTGGAATAAATCACAAACATTTTTCGATTACATCAACTTTTAGCTATACTATTTTTAGACTAGCACCAAACCTAGAATTTTCAAAATGTATCCCCACTCTGTTAAATGAAAGCATGAAGACTTGATTTGTCTACATAACATAACGAATAATAAACTGAAATACCCCCACTTATTGTCAAGAATCCACTCTCAAGTGTCCTCTCGTTCACAGAAAAAAAATAAAATAGAGTATATTTGTACAAACATATTAACGAATACATTACCCGCTGGTGTGCATCACAATTATTTTTTTTTCATCAATCGGTTGAGTCGCTGCCTGATGATGGAACTGGTGAAACTGAAACCATTTCCAAGACAACTTTTGTTCTCCAGTGCAAGGATCACTTATAACCAGTTCCTGCTGGGTAATACTAAGCACGCCAAATAGTCCAACAAGACCGGCTGATCTGGAATGCTCGTTGTCGACCAAGGAGACTCGGAAGTTTGCATTGCCAACTGCCACGGAAAAGAAAAAAACTCAGAACCAGGTTTTTGTTATTTCAATATTGTCCTCTCAAGGGTAGAAACTTCAAACATTGAACAAAAGTAATTTTTTGTGGTGGAAAATAGTTTCTTAACGACTTTCTTTTGGTATTTTCACCTTCCATGACGTTGAAAGTATATTCACGAATATTCCTGTTGATGATAAGACTTCAAATTGTAAGATCGAGGTTGGAAAACTACTCAAATTTAAAACATCAAACGAAGATGGATGATAGTTCTGTTCTATATTAGAACTTTCAAGATTATGTATAGACAAAACCTATTTTCAATATGGAGATGTTTTCTATCAACAAGAATTGGGCAAGGTTATGGGTTCCCCTTTATCTTCCACCCTTATATTAAAGCGATCGTGTATCAAGTTGTAAGAGTAAGCAGAATACCACTCCTGTCAGCTGACCAGAGAAATTACTCACCAAATGGAGTAATCGACTTTGTTGAGAAGCTAAATTATTTTGTCAAGTTTCAATAGGTGTGAGTCACAATCAACCGTCGTGGATTGCAGTGGAATATAGAATAGACACATTCAGTTTGGATCTACCTTCCTCTATATCAAGGATGATATAAGATATTCGTGATTTTTTTCACCAAACACCCTAAAAGGGCATGTTATGGATGTACAGGATGAAGTACTGAGAAAATCCATAAGAACAATATGACATAAAAATTTCAACACACCATTTCATCTGCTCGAATTGAGCTTTGAGCTATCCTCAAAATATTTCAAATAGAAATGAGGTTTGTATAATACCTCACTTGGAAAGTATTTCTATTGTTTATTCAGTCATATTTTAATAAAAAGAATAGGTTTAGAAACCAAAGTATAACATGAAGAATGAAACGTGATTTTCACATCTAAGTAAAATACCAATAATTGTAATCTTAATGTGCCTAGAAAGAACAGATAAGTCAGTCATAACTTTAAATGGCTTTTGGATATTCAATTACAACAATTTGACATCTGTCAATACAACTACAAATTTTTGTATAAAAATGAGAGGACACTAAACTGAATCATCATGATTTTCAACAGTGGATATTCAAATCGAATCTCTCAATCAACAGTAATAGACTGCAAGTCCATGCTAAATTATTGGTGATTAGATATTACACATGTTACCTTTTCATGGAGCTGGTCCTTAATATTAATCAAAATGACCTGAAGGTTTTTTGAATCTCTTCTAGATTTTAGATGTATAATAATTGCATGACAAGATAAATTACAGTTGATATAAAAAACGGATTTTGTAAAAGCCATACAAGAACTCAGGTCCTTCATATAAAGAGGGGATTTTCCTGAAAATGAAAATCTTTGTTATTTTCCTGTCCCACATTAATTTTTTGTACGGCATTCAATAATAATAATACGCTTTTTGGGATTCAGTTATAATAAAGCACAACTGAGGAAGAGATAAGTTTTATGTCACTTATTTTGCTTTCAGAAACAAAAACAGAAAACAGAAACAAAAACCGGCTTGCACCAAATTCTTGAGCGAGAGACAGAGAGAGTGAGAGAGATAGAGAGAATTTTATTGTACATATTTATTCCATTGTGTACTAACGAATCCTTTACCATTGCTGTTGCGGGCAGGGGAAGTTTGATCAAGTTAGCGTGGCGTGTATGACAGGGTGGCTCGTTTGTATCAACAAGAGCAGATATATTTTTGTGAATCAGACTTACTGTTTCAAGGATAAATAGAGAGATTGTTGTTAGGATTTTTGTTCAATGAATAATGGTTTGTAGTGTTCTTGGAAATTTGTCCTGCATATACACTGGACAGCTCACTTCTGTAAAACAAAAATAGTCTGCAGCATGTGATTGAACCCATTAAATCTATTCCCAAACCGAGGAGTATTTTCTTATGAAATGAAAAAAAAATAAACATCTTGGTTGAAATTGAAGACAAACCCTTACCTTCTTTGAAACTGTTCTAAAATGTAAAACACTTCGTTTTGAAATATAAAGAGTGTATCCTATCAGAAATTTCAGATTTTGTATCCAATTTTTTTCTATCAAAAAGCACAAAAAGTTGAACCTTTCTGAAAAAGTACACTACCACCCTAATTTTTCTTCTGCTTCTTCAAGTTAGACACTCAGTAGTCTAGCATACCTAATATGTATGTTAGTTCGGGCCAAATATTACAACTGAATTTTGAAGCGCTTATCCACAAGATGAAATTTTGCGATTACTTTCATTTTGGATGACAATACATGGTTAATTGTAATACCATTCTGCATCCAGCATGGCGGATGTCCCAAAATGTCAGGGCACTAGTTCTTCATTCTCCTTCATGATTATGACAAGTATGATACTCCTCTAAAAGCAATATGGCATATCGTCAAGACGACTATTTGCCATATTGGATTTTTTATGAATCCATGTACCTAAATGAAAAGAATACAAACAATAACTTAACTTATTTCATCAGTTCGGACTGCCAAAATGACCTATAAATAGTCAGATCTTGGAGGAATAAGTCCAGTTATCACCCGAAGATGATTTTGGATACTAACAATCGAAACGTCGTGACGTAACTTGGTTTGGAATCTCTTATTTTTTTTTTAATTTTTGTTAATGATATTTTTTAATTTTTTTATTTTTAGCTTTTATTAATATTTCAATTTTTATTTTTTTGGTTGTTACTTGTATGTTATTTCTTTGTAATTTCAGGTTTTAGTTAAATAAAATTGTTATTTTCGGTTAATCTTTTTAATTTTTTCAGGGATTTCAAATCAAATTATATTAGAAAATGGAAGTCCGAACTGATGAAATACACCACGAAACATTGTCAACCACATTCAAACAAACGTTAAATAACTTAACTCCAAAGGCAATATGGCAGATTGCCCAAATCCCTATGATCCCCTATGTATCCCTAGGGATACATCCCTATGAAATGAGTACCAAAAGGTTCGAAATGGAGGAAAACAAGATGGCCACCATAGCAATTTCAAAGAGTAATAACTTGGCAAAGTTTAGGGACAGTTTGGTGGTGCTCAAACAAATGTTGTAGAAACTGACTGTGCAACAATGACACATTATATGAAATGAATTACACAAAAAAAAGAAAATAAACTTTGAATTAATTCAATTTATATGGTATAAAAGCTTGAAGCGAGATTTACCTTTGTAGAAACAAGAATACAGAATGTAATTTGATGTTGACATAAGTAATTCTAAGAAAAAAAATATGTTTTTTATAAAATAGGTAAATATCGTCGCAAGCTTTATATCATATAAATTGTGCAATATAAAATAATGATGGGTTCAATTTTATTAAAAGCTTTTTTTTCACTATCACACCAATTCAAAAGATATAGATAATATACCAGATATAGATAATATTCTTTGTGCCAACTATTTTTACCTACCAATTTCTATCAACTATTTTTACCTTTGTTTTGAATGGTTTCCAAGTTTTGGCGTGTTTTTTTTTGTTATAATCTCCAAACGTTTCAACTGCAACTGCGGCAGTCATCTTCAGTGGCGTGGTCGAAGTACTTTTCTTGATGTATCAAGTTTCAGTTGAAATGTCAAGAAACGTACTACGACCACACCACTGAAGATGACTTCCGCAGTTGCTGTTGAAACGTTTGGAGATTATAACTAAAGAAGATCACAGCAAAGCCCGGAAACCAACCAAAAATTGATGCCAGCCGTGAAAGCCTATGGTTCTTTAATTCATAGTTAAAAATGTGGGATTATAACCTTCAAATACGAGGCCTGAAATTTGTAATGTAGCCAAGAAATTTGAAACATTTCAAAAAAGTTCATCACCTAATAAAGAAATGAAACTCAAACAACTTTATATCACACGAATTTGTAAGGAGTTACTGGAGCAGTTGATGAAACTCAGGGTTTGTAAGATACACAGACTCTTTTTTAAAATCTCTTTTAGCCGTTCAGTTTAAACTATTTTAATTTGGAAAAACAACAAAGAATTTTTTTTGAATTTTAATAGGTTGTTTCTGGTTATGAAATTTAATATTACTCTTATTTGGAACATCCTTCACCATTGAATATTTCTTGTCAAAACAGTTGGGACTTTGTTTCAAAACAGTTGGGACTTTGTTTTAGACATTGACCAAAAAATACAAATTAATTTTGCTTCAGAATTCATGAACATTTACCTGGTATGTAAGATGCAATGCTAAGTATCCTCCTGATTGAAGACATCCACTGCTGTGAATTCGATTCTGAGTTTCCTGACAGAAATATCAGAGGTTTTTTGTTGCGACCCAAGTTGAAAACGCCAAAAGCATATCTTTTCGTTCTAGAGTCTGTCCTGCAAATCGTAGAAGATCTGGGTAATGTTATACAGTTCAAGACACTGCCTTCTTTTCCAGATTTCAACTTCAGTTCCAGCCCGTTTTCTATGCTGTCCAGTCGTTTAATCTCGCACCACTGTTTTTGCCATGCCTGAAAAACAATTTTTAGTTGCCTGTTTTTGAGTAGAAATAATGTAACCCCACCTTCCAAGGCGTGAATCCTCTTCTTGATTTCGACGATATCTTTACGTCCAGATAACCACTCAACAGTTCGCCTGCCATTTTTTTCAATTTCAATACTAATGTAAACTACATCCAAGCATTATTTCAAAACTGTTTATTTACTTTAACTTCCATGTTTATTTAAATTGTTTTCAATTTAAATGAAATGACGTCTGACATTGCAGTGTTGCAATAATGTTTTCAGTGAGTCTATGGACAGTTACTTGAACTGGAACGTTAATTTATACTTTCAGATCCTAAGATCAACTGATAAAATTTCATATCTGGTGCATCGAGTTAGTTGTGTTCATCCCTATGTAGTAAGGAAATATTTGCATACGATTTCAGGATGTCACTCTTGAACACCCTTCGGAGAGTAGGATTAAGGGCGTGGCGGAATGCAAAAGTTATCTACTATCAATAAGTAATGAGACATAAATTTTATATCATTCGTTTTGCTTTTATGCAGTGGATACACTATTCCATACATATCTGAAATATTTTGATTATCATGAACAATTATCTTAGTTATACCTACATCAAACAAAATTTTATTGACGTAGAACTGACGATTTATGGATTTTTGAACAGTCCAAAAATACTTCTTTCCTCGATATGCCATTCGCAATTCAATTACATATGCTACATGGACACCATACCTCAAGCATTGTGTTTGAACTTGATGATCGACTTCGCTCTTGATAGATGACCTAGAGCTTGAGCCACATCATATGACCTTGAATGCAAAGGAGGTGTAACGATGAACCCCTCCCTTTTTGATAATTTCTATATAAGCACAGACTCTTCGCTCCTAGAGTTCCTTTACACTGGAAATGGCCTTCTATGCTCATATGAATTTTCTAGTTGTTGAACAGAAAGAAATATAACACACATTGAGAATTCGATATTCAATAAATTGATGGATGTAGCCGTTACTATGTGGTAGGAGATGATGATGAAAAGAGAAATGATAAAAAACATAGAAATTTTTATTTCTCTTTTCAATTCGATATTCAATTACCTGATTGCTTTTTTCATAATGCAATGAGAATATCTAATTTCTTATTAGCGACATTGTTCGCATCTTTAAGTACTTTTAAATGAGTTCTGAAATTTTGTTGGGAGCTGCTTCGAAAAAATTCAGTGTCGTTTAGTCTACAAAATAATGTCTTCGTGGTATTAAGAATTACGATTAGCGTATTGTCTTTATGTGATATAGCGACATCATTGTACATCAGCTTATAAATATTATGTAACTACTCCTGTAATACCTGCTTTCAAAATCGTCAATTGAAATTTGATTTTTGATAACAGATTGTTTCATACCTTCAGCTTTCTTTATTCCATAAATTGATTGATGTACCCTCTACTATGTGGTAGAAGATCATCATGAAGAATGAGACATGTTTTTATAACACTTGCATTTCTAACTAACGTTACTGCAGTTTCGTCCTACATGAAACTGCAGTTACAATTACAAGTGTTATAATATGGGCGAGCTATAAGAGCATTGGCAGGATACAAAGTTGAAGTTACAGCCCAGGCAAAATAGTACTTGATAAATTTGGGTAACTTGATGTGGGAAGACCCTCCAAAAGGACTATATACAGAATTTCCTCGATTATCAAACATGAAAATATATTTTTTCTTCACATTCAATCAGCAATGTTTTGAATATATCACATACTTAAATCTCGATTTGGAAATTCCACTACTTGAGCAGTTGAAGCATCAACAGAAGTGTTATATAACACATTCAAATTATTCGAATAATCAACAACTTGATTGGGACTATTGAATGGTTTAACTTCTGAAAGCTCCTTAGTTTGCAGATAGTAACAACCAAACACCTCTATATTAACTTTCATACATTCATGGATCACTAACACTTCTTCGAGCAGTTTCAATACTTCCTGCTTCAATTCATTGAAGAGTGTGGGGAAAACCATTCGGCAATTTTGACTATCCATCCTGTAGCTCACAATTCTACACTTCACTGCTGTGCGTATAACTTCAACGCCGTCTTTATATTGAACCCAAGCATGTCAAGGTCAAACTCCCAGCTCAAGATCATATGGCGTACACATAGGTTAAGGTCGGATGCGGTCATTGAAGGTTGTTCAACGTTTAAATAGCTCAAAGTCGTGTGACATCTTTCAGGGTCATGATCGAACGGTGGGGGAGGTTTAGAACCGTCATTAGCACCCTATTGTTTTTGTCTAATGTTCTCGAAATAACGGCAATCCTGGCAATGTCCGTTGTGTAATCTGAAATTTATTGCATTATTGTAAAGTACTTGGGAGAGAAAGTTTTTGGCTTTCTGCTACTTCATCTTGTTACAGAAAAATGTGGGAATCTTCCAAAGAAAGGAAGGAAGTAATCAATTTTAAAATAAGTAATTCCATACATGGATATGTAGATCATGCAAAGAAGTAACTTTCAGACACAAACTGGAAGGAAAAGCCCTCCTGAAACAGCTACTTTGATATAAACATTGAATTACACGAAAGAAAGATTCTTTCGAAACAAATACTTTCATACGAACACTGAATTATACAAAAAACACTTCTCTCTACTTAGTTTGCACTCCAAACATTCGTTATGGAATTATATCAGATATTATTCATAGGATTTCTACACAATATACTAAATGAAAGTTAAAAATTTCACTTACATGGAACACTGTTATCCTCACTGGTAAACATCGATGTTTCGCCGTAAGACACTTGCATTAGGGCTCTTCAGTACCAATCTGGATAATATTATAAGAAAAAACCACACAATTCATTCATAAATTACGACTTTTATGTCATGGAATAAGTTTGATGTATTTATGTCATCGATGACATCGTAATGACATTCATTCACTTGATTAATCCCAGCCAGAAGGAATATTGTTTATACTCAAAGGGTTATATTTTTAGGAGTAATACGACTAATTTTTGTGAAAGTTTTTGGCTTTCTACTACTCCATCTCAGTGTGGGGAAAGTGTTTTAATAGATTTTTCTCGAAGTTCCAAATTAACAAGTACCTAAATACAATATGGAAGGGTCTCTGCTTGGTATTCACTGATATTATTCCAAATCTTGTATTCTACCTAATGTTTGGTTAGAAAAGTGCGTTTTCCAATGAAATTTGCATAATTTTCTTTATCCGCTCTCCCTTATGATGAAAAAAATGTATAGCCGGAGGGTTCCTAGTGACCGTAAAGGTAACACTTCGGAAAGGACGCAAACGCCAGCTAGTGTCTCATCGGAATAATAACAACCAGCCGTAAGGCTCTCACAGAGAATTCGATATATTCTCTTCAAACGGACGCGTTGGGTTGACAGGATAATTTGTTCAGTTTACATAGAATTATCGCAAAAGTGCACATGAAAGAAAATATGGAGCTGATTAGTGACGAAATTTGTATTGAAATGCTTGAATTAGTCGTATATTAGTCAAATAATTTATTTATTAATGAATTGACCCGCATGTAGTTTGAATTTTCCACTATGTATATGGTTTTGTATCAAACCATTCATTGTAGTTGGTTTTGTCAACAAGATTCCGTTGTCCAGACAATGAAGACAATTGACTGAATGATCAATGTGAACCGGAACCGTTTTTTCCTTTGTTCGATGTAGGTACATCATTTTATTTCAAATTTCAACACATACTTGCCAATTTAATTTATTTATTTAGTTATTCAACGGGTAACCCCCAATTTTTATACTAGATACTATTCTAGTATCTATATATCTAATGAATTAACCTACGTAACGAAAATAAAAATAAAATTGTGATGAAAAAATTGTCTTATAAATCTATACCACGTAAAATATATCTAAGAGTGCTCTGAGAAATGTGAAAAAAAACAATGATGGTCCCATTGGTATTCGATAGATTTCTGGACAAAGGATAATGTTTTCCATAATTACACCTATGAAATTCGAGAGTATAAGTTTGGTTGTTACGTGTCCGTCTCGAGGGAACATGCAGATTAACTTGACAGAGAACAGATGGGTAATTAATTTCGTTGTTCAACAATTTATGTAGGAATATTGTCTGCATGTGCCCGTCTTGTATTGAGTTTGAGCAATCCAATAGTAGAGCGAATTTCAAAGAGCGAATGACTTCTATCTGGCATGTTCATTTTGTAGGCAACATATCTAAGAAATTTATTCTGAACTTTCTCAATATCATAACTGTGGTTGAAGTAAGTTGCAGACCAGCTATAAGTGCAATACTCGATCAGTGATCTAACCAATGCAAAGTATAGTATTTTAATAGAACAAATGTTGGTAAAATCTTTAGTTGATCTGCATATGAATCCTAACATTTTCATCGCTTTATTAGATATGTGTTCATACTATAAATGAAAGTCCACCTTGTCACCCATCATAACATCCAGATCTCGTATATACTGTAGACATTCCAACTTCTTCCCTGCAATAATTTAACCAGCGTATAAAGCTGTATAGTATACACATAATGAATTATGGGTATTTGAAGCTGATTTGATTTTAGACAACTAGGCAGTGATGTACAAGGTCTTCCAAACTTTGACAATCTGTTTTCCCGTTAACCAGCTGTCAGAAGTCGAAACTTGTGCGAGATAGGGATTAACGAGGTCTTACCTTTTAACGTGTGATTCCTAACACGGGTTGGACGACAGCAAGTTAAAATCGATCGTTGAGACTAAGACTTCAACCACCGACAAACACGACAGTCAATTCGAGTGAGTGAACAAAGCACCCACGTCAAACCGCCTGGCTACCGACCGACCGATAACGGCAATATTGTTGAAGCTACATCTGTCCAATTAGTTGTCATTCATTCAGTCTTCATTGCCAAATCACCATGGACGGATATGACACTCAACAACTCGTGCAAATAATGAAATTGTCGAATTGGGATATCAATCCACATGAGATCCAAGAGCATCTAATGCATTCCGAAGGAGTCACTGTTTGGTGTGGATCCTGTCTTTTCCAGGGAGGTGGACAGGTCACTAGGAGACATCTTCTTTATATTGGCATCTTCTTTATATTGGCTCGCCGAACACACACTCTCTTTGGCAACCTTGAGGTGTCTCACGGTGGCCTCCGCGAAGGTTTTGGAAGGTGCAGCGACATTACTGTCGTTGCGCGGCTTCTTCAACCTTCTTGGGGTTCCCTCCGTGGAGGTGCACAAGTGAGGGAGCTTTCCTGCAAGGGGAACCAGCTCCTTGCC